TAACTACCGCGGGCTAACCATCCGTCTTGCCAGCAGCTATTGCGACCCGTCCATGGGAGTCTCCTCTACACCGCCACACTAAAAGCACGAGGGGACATGACGCCGGTCGACGCCAGGATCAACATATGAAATCGATCACACACATGGGCTTCCTACTTTGACGGGGACTCATTGAACAGGGCATGTTGAAGCGAATCTTGATATGAGCAGCATTAATCGGTAGGTCGGCCCCGCCGGAGCAGTCGGGCGCGAATCAAAGGGGGTGACTTCCGAGCCCGGTCCAGAATAAACGCGGATGTACGTCGCTTAGGTACCGCCTAACACGGACGCGTCTACACGCCATCAGCTCACTGACGATTTAAGTGCAACTTTCCCACAGCATCGCGCTGCTGCTTGATGTCGACTTTGTTGTTGTTTGCTTGTTCCTCCCGCTATAGTAAACTTGCCACTTTCCAGCTCTATTCATGGTTCGAGAAAGAGCCTCTGTTGGACTTGCCCAGCCAGGTGCGAAACCTACAAAACGCACGATACTCTTCTGAATGCTTCATGGTTCTTTCTCTGTATGCTCCAAATCCCGTTTTGTGCGCTCTCGTTAACACCCAGAATCTGCAGCAGACTTTTACTATGACGCCATCGATCAAATTGTTGCTCATACCCTCGATCCCCATACCACACTCGTGACCCTTACTGTCCTCGCCAAAGGCCTTTGCTCAGATGTAGCTGAATGGGATATCCAGGAGCATCGACTGACTTTGTTATACAACTACTGGACCAGCTTTGAGGGCAAGACGCGTCAAGACGTCCTAGGAATCGGAGAACTTTACCACCCTTTTCGATTGCTCCAACACCGTCGTGTTCAAGGGTAATGGCAAGTGCTCGTGCAATGGCAAGTGCTCGTGCAATGGCAAGTGCTCGTACAATGGCTTGGATATACCGACGAGGGAGAGGACGTCTCGTGGGAGCCAGCCGCGAAGATTCGCGCCGATGCGCCTGATGTGTTGATAGACTACTGTTGCAATGTAAATGATGGTGGAGTAAATGCAGCGCTGTTCGGATCCATGGCGCGAATGGAGGCATACAGCGAGGTCAAGAACCAAGCAGAAGAGATCAGGTCACAAGCCGCTGCGCTTACGATCGCAAGACGTCCAGCGAAGAGGATTGGGGACAGTGTTGCCGAGCCGGCCA